TAGCCATTTTTCTCTCTCGTTATTACAGGCTGCTTGCTGAAGGAAATGATTTTTCAGAGGTACAACACAGCAGAAAAGCAGAGCGGTTTATAAAGCAACGAGTCTGAGAGAGGGGGGTGAACAGCTGCGAGGTGTTTTACCCCGTTTTTGCACCTCTCTTACAAAAAACACAGCTCTGTGATGAGGAACATATGCTATAGGCTCTGTTTTATCTCAAGCAAACGCTGTTTTTACCATCTAAATAATTACCCCCGATAAATAACTCAAGGACATCCGTTGTCTCATGTTCCCCATGGGTCAAAAATGTGCAAAATCACTACTCTGTTTTAGCTGTATGTCCATTTTTGTTTTATTCATCTCACACTACATAATAGCGGCTGTGTCATTTTTAAATAGCTGTTTCACACCTCTACAATTACTCAAACCTAACTCAAGGACATCTGTCGTGTCCTCTTTTGAAACTAAATATCTTGTCAACTCTATACTTTCTATGCACCATTTGTTTTATTCACTATATAACATTACAAACAGAAACCCCAATAATAATGGTTATGTCTTTTTTAAAATAGCTGTTGTCTCCTCATTTTTGAAACTAAATATCAGCTCAACTCTATTTAATATACAAATCACTACTATACTTTCTATGTACCATTTGTTTCATTCACTATATAACATTACAAACTGCATCGTTACCTTACACCAAAGCTTCTGATTGGATAACCTTTCACCTAGAACTGTCAAATCGAGTTTGATGAAAGCCGGTATCTATACTGTGTGTCCTATATATGCAAGACCACACATTATATACATAGACACAAAAGAATACTCACCCCCACTACACACACAGGATGTCATGCCTGCGTGGTGTTCCCCTGTCCTGATGCCAAGTCCCTCGGCTTGCCTCTTGATTGGTTCTTGTTAAGTTTTACTGCCAGCCAGTATTCTTTCTCGCCGAGGGTCAGAGATGGGTCCCCTGTGCGCTACTGGAGGAGAGTTTGACATCTATTCACACACTATGGTTCCAGCTTCAAAATGGGATAATGAGTAATGATGCTGTCTTAGCTGTCTGTGGGAAAGGCACTATTCACTGTGCCGTGCTGTTGAAACTGCTATGTTTATCTGCCTTGTTGTGTGTGTGTGTGTGTGTGTGTGTGTGTGTGTGTGTGTGTGTTTGTGGATGCACTACTGAATACAGTGACAAGAAGAAAATGGAAAAAACCTCAGGAAGAGCAATAGAGGAGGGATCCCTCTTCCCGGACAGACAGACGAGGAATAGATATGTGTACAGAAAGACACAATAATCTTTAGTGTCTTTATGGAGCATACCCATTAAACATTCACCATGGTGATGGGAAACCCTTGGATCTATTAACTAGTTGCATATGCTTTGGCTGCTTCCGGTATGTACAGCAGCTGCAGATCAAACCTGTGCAATGTTCAAGAGGAAGGTTTTAGGACCGTTCTTCCTCACAGTGCTGCTTCAGCCGAGCCACATAAAGTTTATGCTTATTGTTAGTCTGGTGTGAACAGCTGGACTCAGCCATTGTTTGCAATGTGGGTTTTCTTTGTTTGTAATCATTCTCTGGTAAATTTATTTTGATTGATGTTTAGGGTCATTGTCCTACTACATCACCCTACTAACATCCTGTAAGATACTTTGATAAACTTGGGAATTCCTCTTTGTCTTGATGACAAGCTGTGCAGGCTCAGACGCATTAGCAGCCCCAAATCATGGTCCCCCCCTGCACTGTACTTCACCGGCGGGGTGTTGTTTTCAGATTGACATTCAGTGCCCTTTTTAAACCATATAGTATGTAGTGTTACATGTTCTTCCAAAACAATTCAACCATGGATGCTGTGGGGTTTCTTTTTCTTTACCTCATTGAGCATTTTGTGTTGTGCCTTTAGAGTCGTCTTGGCTAAACTAAAGCAGGTCCAGTTCTAAATCCTCTCCATTTACAGACTGATGAAACTCTTCTAAGATCTATTTTTGTGAGGCATGATTCACATAAGCAGATGTTTGTTGTGAATAGAAGACTCAACATATTTGAGTCTGTTTTATAAGTCAAAGGAGCTCTGATGTGGCTCCACTGATTGGACTCCAGGTTTGAGAACTCCTAACTCCAATTAGCTTTTGTTGATGTCATTAGCCTAGAGGTTTACAAAACGTTTCCAACCTAAACTGTGAATGTTTGAATGATGTACTGTATTACATATGAACAAGAACAACATACTGTTTTGGTGTCATTGTAACTTACATGAAGGTCTTATTTTATATTTTTAGACAGATTTATACATAATTCCAAAGGGTTGACTTACTTTTTCTTGCCTCTATATATGCATAAGACCTCGCAGTCAGACAGGATGTGACTGATTTGGGCCAAGAAGTGAGTAATAAATTAAGCTTGTATAAATGTGTGTGTGATGTGTTTTGCATCTGCCCTTAGCTGCATATATCAGAGCTGTTGGGCATGTTTGTAAGTGGATGGTCATGATATGTGGCAGTGTGTGTGACACATACACAAATTTGCTGTCAGACACTTGCAGATAGCAGACTTAATCCAAAAAAAAGAGCTAAAGAGAGATGTTGTCATCACTCAGCATGACAGAAATCACAGGTCTTCTAAAAATACTCTCGAACATTTGTTGAGCCTTGGTAATGTTTAACTTGCATTATACTGTTAACATATGCTGCCTGGTGGATGTTTATCCACAGCTTTTACAGGCTAAGTGCTGACTTCACAATCAAACTGCTGGAGTACACAAATCGCACAATTCACAGATTCACTGTAATGTAACATTTGCTGAGGAGGGTTTCTGTGCAAGAACAGAGGCAGTCTTAGTTGGAGTTCCTTCAGCGTCTGTGTGCTGGAGGACAGGAAACCTATACACGTCTGATCTGATTTGAAGTGAAGATGAGTAAGATAGGCTTCCAATCTGGGCAGAAATACTGGAGGGTCACAGACAGAATATTCCAATATGTAAAGTGAGATGTATATAAAATATGGAAGTCCACTTAGTGAAAATCATGTCAACTTAACTCATCTGAATATTCAAGCAGGCGTGGGCCATATGGATCAAATTGTCTATGACGGTATACTTTATGTAATCATCTAGAAATTTAAGTGAGAAACTATGGAACAAATATTATCATCACATGCGAAATGCAAAGGCAGTCGTGCTCATTGATTTGCTGTAGTCTCAGTGTGAGCGAGTGATCCAGAACAACCAGTCATTAGAGATCTCAAAGAGAATGGGAACCACTCCGAAATGGATAGGAACATGAAACATGTCGAGCTGAGCACCACTCATCCCAGGTTCTGTGCTTGTTTGCATTGTCCTCTGCCTGTTTTGGAGGTGTATTCTGGGAACGAAATTTTTTTGCCCCCTTTGGGAGATAGTATTGGAGTCAAGTTGCAGGAACTCAAGGGGGAGACGGCAACTGTGCACAGAGCTGTAGCCTGTGACTGGTTAAATGTCACCTTATTCACATCACAGCTATTAGTATTACAAACACATGAACGGTGATTTCAGTGAATGGACACGGCCAGATTGGTGAGGACATCTCATTTCTGCAAGCTTGTGTTCTGTTTGTTCAGCAGCTGTTTGAGGAACTACTCACACAGTCTCTAAAAACAGTGGAAAATCAAAGCACATCAGCCCATGAGGTTATGCCGGGTGATGATTATGGGAAACACAGGGTGTACCAACAGTGGACATGTAGCTTAATGTGCAAAAACAAATGTTTAAAAAAGAGAGAGATAGAGATCTGCAGCATCATGATGCACCACCAAAACAATGATCAGCTGTGGTTGAAAAAAGCAGCAGTACCGTGTCTTTTTCTTTGCTTTTGAAATGTATGTATGTGTGTGCAGGTCCATCATGACAGACTTGTACTACCTCAGCCAGGCGGACGGAGTGGGCGAGTGGAGAGTGAAGGAGGCTAAAGACCTGTCGGATCTGGTCCAGAACAGAATCACCTACCTACAGGTATGTGGAGACATGCCTAGTGCTTAGCCAGCTGGCCGCGTACTCTCTCGCTCTCTCTCTCTCTCTCTCTCTCTCACACACGCACACACACGCACACTCACATCAGACACAACTACATCGACTTAGCGTTCATGCACGTTTTCCTCACACATACAAATGCTCATATGCATTTTTGAGGACATCCTTCACATTTGCTTGTCTCATTTGCACCATCCGTAACTGTCAGCATCAGTTTCCACGAGGAGCAGGTGAGAGATGTGATAGCAGACTGTTTCAGCAGTCGGATCTGACAAGCAGGATTCTTGTTGCTTGTCATTGGTTTACACACACAAACACAAGCGCACCAAAACACATAGACACACATGCAGAATTGCAGCATCACAGATCGGCACATCTACACATCCACACAGTAGAAAGACAGACACAAACATATTCAGGCTTAGATCCACATATGTTTATAGCTTTACATACACAAACTGAGAGCCAGGACACATCCACTCACCCCCAGCCACCCTGCTCCTCTTCCCCACCAACAGTGCTGCCGGGCTCTCGGGTGGAGCAGTGCGGTGCGGCACCGAGCCCTGCAGCATTAATGAGCTGGTGTGTTTGATGAAGAGGACCCAGTCAGTCTGGCTGGGTGGAGACAGCACCACTAACAGCTGCTGTCATCACTGCTGAGGGATCACACCGCTCCACCAGCTGCCATCACTAATTCATCACACACACACACACGCACACAGATGGAGTCACCGGCACCCACGTATGCAATTGGCGCACATGCACACTCACTCAGCCGCTAGATTGATCCACATGCTCGTACACAATGAAATCCTCTGTATGTGTGTTTCCCTATCTCACTTATACACACTCAATCACACATCTATATACACACACAAATACGACTCCTCCCTCCAATCAGCTGTTTCTGCCACCCACACCAGCCTCTCCCTTCATTCCTGGTTGAACTAACTCCATCTCTGCATCTGCTCCATCTGTCCACTCTTGACAGTCACTGAACATGGCTGCCTTCTTCTGATGGATCTCTGTCGGGCACGCTTTTCATCTATTTTTGCATTATTGTTAATGAGAAGAATTATGTCCTTGATCTTTTGTGTTTTTATGCACCATTTCCCAGACTATTCATTGAGGGTGTCCACTACTTTATTGTTCTAATCCTTAAAGGATAAGGCCAGTCATTTTCTATATTAACAGTATTTTCAGCAGTCCCCCTACAGAGACTAAAACAAACAATGATTTGCCTCTACTCACTGTTAATGTCTGTCAGTCTATTAGGGTCTGATGTTTCATAATGAGAAAATATGTCACCCAGTGCAGCAGTGTGTTTCCCCGATGTGTTTTTAATCGTTTTTGAACAACAGCAGAGGTCTACGGCACAGACACACAAGCTGATCCAGGTCTGACAGATTGACAGCTCTAATGCATCTTTCAGCTCATTATTTTGGTCTTCAGGCTGCAACTTCTCTGTTTTGGTTCAGCTATGTCATCAGCATTATGCTCAGCCTCAGCAGACAGCTGTTTTCGTTGAGAAAGCCAAAGTTAGCGACAAGCTTGTGAACAAGCATTTAGCAACAAATGAGTTGGAGTTTTCCCTCAGAAGCTAACGGACACCATCTGTATCTGTTTACACAGCCAAAGAAATGTGCAGTGAGAGCATTTACATGACTTTGTTTTGAACACAGGCAGTAACAGTAACTGAAGTCATCTATACATAGAGGTAATTAAAGAACGCAAATCATTAAGGGCTGATGCTGAGATGTGGATGTTAGTGCTCACACCAGCTTCCCGGTTCCTGTAAATGACGCAGTGTTTCTCCTTTGAGTGTGAAATGTGTTGCAGCCTTGTCACTTCGGGTGTTTTTTCTCAGAAAGCATCCATGAGGAAAATATAAAAACTTAAATGAGCAGGATGTACTGTAAATGTGCTGGCAACAGAGCAGAGAAAAACTTTAAAGCTCCTCAAGCGTGTGCAGCTTTTTAAAATTTTCCCCTACATTTTGAATGTGGCAGTAGCATTGGATAATTAATTGAGCTTGACGTGCAATTTCTCACATCCAGTTGTTCTCAGCTATATTTCCAACATAAACAATATCATTGTGGTCTCTGAACCGAATCATTTTGCAACTGCCTCTGTGTTTCACACTCAAAAACCATACCATTTAAAGAGACACTTAACCTACAGGGCAGAGCGGTACTCAGAGGCAGTCTGTGTGCACACAGCTGCCGTCATTATCCTTGAACCAAGTCTTTCAGCAGTCATTCCAGCCTCATCATTATCAACCTGGGATCCAGTAGTGGCCTCCACATCACACATCAATCTCATGCAGACATGCAGTAGTGGCTCGGATGCTGAGCTTTGTTGACAGAACACCAGCTTTTTTGCAGGCCCTTCGGTCAGAACGCCACTGTAGATTATTAGCCCAGTAAGTTAGCTCACAGCTGTGGGGCTGGTAATGCAGGGGCAGCCTGTAACTCCGACAAATACCTGTCAGCTCAGCGGCTGCTGCGCTCTCTTCATGTTATTGAACAGCACTGGTGATAATCAGTTTGCAGCACCTAGTGGAGACTCACTTCTCCTTTGCTGTCCCTTCCTCTTTTTTTACTCATTTCCCCTTCGTGCCTCTCTTTTCTATTGCCTCCTGTCTTCTTTTTGATTTAATCTCCTCTGTTATTTTTTTTTTTATTCTCTCATCTCTTTTCCTCCTCCCTTTCGTCCTCTTCCTCGCCTGCTACTGTGTGATAGGCAGTGTTAGCCGTGGGTGCCGGGCGGCCTGATTACTGTGAACCATCCACAGCTGCAGAAGCCTAATGAGGAAAACACTCCCATCAGCCAGTAATTGCTGTTTAGGAAGCTGGTTGGCACGAGCGTTGCAGAGTTGCGCAGACCAGCTGCCGAGCGAATCACAACCTGCCTGGCAACTCATTGGCAGCACAGCATGTGTGACTCTGCTGGCTTCCTTTTTTTATGCAAAAAAGAGAAATCCTAGTTTCTTCCCCCAGCATCTCTCATTTATTCTTCTTCCCCACAGACTTTGTATGATATTGAAACTAATTTATGAGATGTGAGGTGGAGGTGGGGAGAAAGCAGGAAAAGGAGGGAGAGTGTGAGGAAAGAGCGGTAGAAAATAGAGGAGGGGA